GGAAGCGGCGTGTGGGACGTCCAAGGGTGACATGGAGGAGATCGTGTTAAGAGGAGTTGAAAGAATATGGATTAACATGGATGCAGGCGAAAAGTATACTTTTACTTTTTTACTTTACTTCGGCTATCTCCTACGGGAGGATGAGCCGGCTTCATGAACGTCTCGAATCATCGCTGCCCAGGCGCGGCGATCTGAAGCAAGGTTTTGCGATAGGGATATCCAATTCTTGTTCCACATACGGAGTCCGTAGACCGTTTGTAGCCCCAGGCACTCCATATCTGCCTTGACTATACCAAGCCATGTCTTCAGCTGTCCGCCTCTGCGACATCGCCAAGATGGTAATGGCGAGGGATTTAGAACTGATTTGACCAGATCGTCATCTGGTCGGCGCAGAACATGGCCAAACCACCGAAGGCGGCGTTGTTGGACCAGTACTGGAATTTGGTTGATGTTGTAGCAACGCCGACGCACTTCTTCGTTGGAGAGTTTGTCCTACCAACGAACATGCAGAATGTACCTGAGACACCAATGGTCTAATACCTCGAGTCTGCGTAAATCTTCCGCGCGAAGAGGCCAGGTTTCACAGCCATACAACAGAACGGGTCGTATGGAAGCTTGGTAGATCCGAATTTTAGTCCTGAGACTGATTTCTCTCTTGCTCCATAGAACGCTCCTCAGCTGTAGAAACGCATTCCGGGCGTTGGAGATTCGCGCATTCACTTCGTTTTTCGCTTGGCCGTTGGGGAGCATTATGGATCCCAGATATCTGAAGGATGGCACAATTTCAATAGGTGCTCCATTTAAGGATAAGATTTCATCATTGCCGGTGGATGTGTTCGAAAACATTTTGGTTTTGGAAGTGTTAATTTTCAAACCGATAGTAGACGCGAGGTGGTTTATCTGGTCGAGCGCCTGTTGCATATCGGGGAAGTTTTCAGCTAACAGCACGACGTCGTCGGCGAATTCGAGGTCGGTTATGTGAATATCGGGCGAAAGTTGGACGCCGTGGTGCTCGGTTAGGGCGTGCCGCAAAATCCAATCAACTGTGAAATTGAACAGGATGGGGGATGCTGGACAACCTTGCCGGACACCGCTGGTTACCTCAAAAGTGCGGGACTCTTCACCGTTCACTCGGACTCGAGCTTTGGTGTTGGAGTAGTATGACCTGAGCAGGTTGATTAGCTTGGTCGGAACTCCGTCGAGCTCCATTAGATACCAGAGTGCTCCTCGATCAACTGAGTCGAATGCCGCTTGGAAGTCGATGAAGCAGGCAACCGTCGGCTGTTGGAATTTGTCCCTGTGTTCCAAAATTCTTCGCAGTGTGAATAATTGATCAACACAGCCTCTTCCAGGTCGAAATCCGGCTTGATTTGGCCTTGTTCGCACGTGGCGTTCGGCCGCGAAGCGGTTTAGGAGAATGGAAACAAAAACCTTAGCAGCGATATCAATCAGACTTATGCCTCGGTAGTTCTCGCATATTGACCTGTCTCCCTTTTTGTGGAACGGTAGCAGAACTGAGGTGCTCCAATCGGAAGGAATGGTTTCGGACTCCCAAACTGAGCAGAACAGCGAGTGCAGTGCATCGATTAGCGCTGGAGTGCAGGCCTTGTATATTTCTGGGGGTAGACCATCTTCGCCCGGAGCTTTTTTGTTTCTGAGTGTGTTAATTGTTTTAGCTATTTCGGTTGGAGTGGGTGGATCGCAGTCAACTACGTAGGGTGTTGGTAAGTGTCGTATCGGTCGATGAGACGGTTGACCAGCGTCGCGATTGAGTAGCTGCTTGAAGTGTTCGGCCCATCGTTCCATCTTACCATTGGTGTCCGAAATAATTTCTCCTGATGCTGTGCGTAACACAGCATGACTGTTAAGGCGTTTGCCAGTAAGGCGTTTGAAAAGTATAGCAGAAGACAGAAGAAAATGGAGGCGTGCAGTTGAAGCCCTATGTTCCACTAGGAACCCAAGGGAGCAATAATAATAATAATATTACTTCTGACGGTTTTTGATCTTCTTTCTGAACAGCGACCGATGAGACGATGACTGGTATATTGATGTCTCCGCGAAAATATAGGGAAGTTGGGTTTGAGCAAACAACCATGAACTGATCGTTCAATCTTCAACTACATTGACGCTGTCCTTGGAAGACTTTCAGAAACAATGTGTAACAACCAACGCCAAAAACCAGAACACAGATTGGCTACTCGAGAATCCTTTTTCTTTACGCTGATATGTAACCAACAATAAGGTTATCATGCACAAGGTCTATGAATAAATATTATAACAATAAATCACGATAATTCTTCTGATAGTTTTCTGTCTTTCACTAAACAGCGAACGATGAGACGATGACTGCTGTATTGATGACTCCCGCGAAAGATATACATTTGGGTTTGAGCAAACAACCACTAAGAGATCGTTCAATCTTCATCTACACTGGCATTGACCGATTTCCATATTGATATAGCATTCTTTTGTCAAACAGTATTGTTTTCACACTAAAATAGGCCGCATTGATATCCTGCGACGTGAAGTCCTCATTGAATGATACTGTACCGAAAGGTGTAGCTGCTATATATGGTACACTAATGTGTTCATGACATTACCCTCCAACTATCCCATCTTGCTCATAATAGCTCTATTTTCACACAGTCCACCTGAAACACTAATCATTGCAACCAATATGCCAAGAGTGTGTCGCAGTCAGATCACATGAAGCGGACACCAACATAACTAGTCAGGATATGATAATTCCCATCAATCAATAATAATAATAATAAAACTCATTGACGAAATAGTTTTTCCGAGCGAAATTGTAACCAACGAGACCTATAAGTTCATCCAGTGAAATACATGGTGGTGAATATAATTTTCGGGGGACAGGAGCTTGAGGGCTTTGTTGTGGTGTGATTATCGACTTATTCACCCTCTTCATATCATCGAAAATATATGCATCTTTCAGCAGCCAGATGTGTTGTATTCTCTTTTCGCTAGTTGAAGTGGTGTTGAGAGGAGCCTGGCCGTCAGGTTAGGTAGGCCAGGGTAAAGAGTCAGGAGGTAGTCACGGTAGATCTCAGCTTCAGCGTGATTCGTAGTCACGGACCAATCGTGAGAGTTATTTCTAGCCGGAAGCAACCGGAATCAAGTTCAAAACCATCCATACAGACCAAATAACTGGTTTCGTAGACTGTCAAAAATGATGGAAATTGAAATCATTCATTACGCCTGAGGAACCAAAAAGAATTATTTATCTATTCAAGTGGCTTTACTTCTATATTCCTCACTTAGTTGTTTAGCAAATGAGTACTGAACTTCGAATTTACGATCATGAAACGTATAGAATCACAGGCACAAGCTCGCAGAGATCCCCAGAAGATTTTCAGATCTAGTTGAAATCTTCTTTTCTTATCGTCATAACTCTTTCCGCATTATCCTCATGTTATTTGGTAAATTGTATCTTATTATTTGTCCCAAACATATTACATAATTACTCAGATGCTACTTACATAGGCGAAAGTAGTTAAAACAGGTGCAAATCGCTCTCCCCTTATGCGAATAAAAGAGCTGGCGTGAAAGGCTCGGCAATTGATGCTAGGAACTCTGTGCAAGAAAGTAACCTGCTTCATTCCACTAGTCAGTCATGTTTTTGCCGTGGTACTGCATTTTTGGCAGGTATTTCACATTGGCACTACTTTGCTTAGATAAGCGAATAAATCCAAAGCTGCTTCCAGACCCCAGTCCCAGCAATTTCGGTAACTGACACAAAACTAGTTCATTCAAATTATTCTCCTTGGCTGACACTATAGTTTCCCGTTCTCCTTGCATGTTAGTAAGCCACCTTATATTTGTGTGAGCCTAGAAGGATATAATTACTAACCCGACTTTCACAGCGCTGGTTTGAAGTTGTGTTAAAACCCACTGCCATATTAGTACCAATAGTAGTGTAGTTTAACCACAAAAAGAATAGTCCACGATGTTATTGTCTGGCATACTGAAGAAAATAAACTTCTTATCAAGTCAAAGCGGGAATTCTCGGCAGGTTATTCTTGCCCGACTAACCTACTTTGGAAAATAAATTTTCTGGCTAATGAAGTCAGTGTTTGAATTCCGGCGGATACTATGCCCATTTACTTTACACTTACTTATATATTGTCAAGACACTTTCACCGGTGAGGTGACTCCCTCCCTTTTGTTCGCTGACAATACATCTACTTTGGAAGGAGATTTGGATTCTTCCATGGAATCGCACAGAAAACGGTGTCCGAAAGCCGAAATCAACAACAGTTGTTTCCAGCACATATCTCATTGTATTCTACAACTTCACCGAACAAATGAATTCAGTCATTGAGTTTGCTGACTTGAAAACAGTTGTGAATTAAGATCCAACGATTTCACCAAACTGCTAAACATTATGCTTTAGGCGATAAAAAAACAACATGAGCACTCCTCAAGACAACTAATTTCGGAATCTACACTCGCCCCATATCACAACTCGCCTGAAACAGGAGACCTAAGCAGTCCTAAGGGAGACAGACAATACTGCATCAGTTTTTACTATATCTGTGCTCAAACATAAAAGGAAAATTGGTAAATAAGAAGAGAAGTCCTAATTCTGTCGACGAAAATAGAGAAATAGCCCTGAAAACTTTGCCACAATTGTTTCCACTGTTACGTCAATAGACAGAGAGTGACCTCACACAAAAACTCAGTTTCTTAGACAGTTTTCTGAGCTTTAATATATTCTCCTCATCTCTTTCTTCCAAGAGCAACCAAAGCTGGAACATCGGCAAGAATTTGAAAAACCACGGCTAAATCTCTGTATCTTTTAGCTCATTCCCCTCATATACCTGTAAACTAGACTAAAATCTCGTAATCTGTCGCCATATTTTTTCTCGCGGGCTTGGGTTATTTAGCCAAAAAATAAATTTTGTTTTAATGCACCAAACATCAATTTGCAGTAGAAACCAATGTTGACTTGATGACTCTCCTCAGTTAAATTAGCAAATATGGACAGTAAGTTTAACAAGCGTGCTTAAACGTTTATTCTACAGGTGACACTAATGTGGAATCTATCACGTTAATCCAGTGTTCCGTTTGCGGTCGTCATTTCCGGGAAGACATTATTGTAAGTGTAACCTGTAAAATGTGATACAGATACATTAACATTGTATAAAGTCATATTGCTTTTCAACCTTCATACTTAAGAGACAGTTTGTAGGAAAGCAAACTGATTCACTTTCTCAAATTTGTATAACTAACATTAACACGAATGATTGTACTTAATGAACGGTTATGCGGTTAATGAACCTCATCTAGAATACTGTATACAAGCGGTGAGTCCATACTTCAAAAGAAGGAGGCACATTTCCTGGAACGATTACAGAGGGTAGGAACCAAGTTAGTTAGAAGTATCTTATACCTTCCTTATGATAAGAGGATGGAGCATTTAAATCTCTTCCAATTATCATAAGAAAGGAAGAGAGGTGGCTTAATTTTGGCTTACCGTATATTAAAGGGTGATGCAGGGATTGGCCTTTTAAATCTCTTCTCTCCCTCTAGGATATATTACGAAGTCACCACAGAAAGGTCATCAAACCATGGTTGAACAGAATACGTGTGGAATTTAGATTCTCTCATAGAATGGTCAACCACTGGAGCTCCTTACCTGATTCATTAGTAACATATCCATTGGTGATTTCTTTCAAAGAGAAACTAAATCTCTGCAGACATATGTATATACGTATATATATCGCAAGGATTAGCATAGGCAACAATAGCCTTCTACCCTTATAATCTGAATCTGAACGACCGTTCAGTAGATTATTAAAACAGTATTTCAATTGTTCTTTTAGCGTCTCCTACCCATCTAACAGTATCATCGTCGTACAGTGCATCATAATATAGAACCATTTCATACCATATGAGTGAAGACACTGTGCAAATAAGTCAGAATTGAGAAAGTGTCTCCATATTTGTCCATAAAAGTACTCTAAAAATCCCCTCTGAGAAAGTTTTGGTGTGTCTGTGGCGTTGATAATGGAATACGTTTTCTTTCACTTTTTCCAGCTAAGGATATTCGTGAAAATGTAAGTTAAAAATAATTAGTTACTCCCAGTTAGACGACGAATAACGCGTGTTGTTTGACCCCGGAAATATGCGCTGGAATCCTAATAATAATACCACATATTTGTTTCTGTTAAGTACACTTCATCAGTCTTACTTCACTTTTGCATTATCATGTTTCCGATGAAGTCTTTTTGTTTCTTCAAGTTTTCGAAAGCTGTGCTGTCTGAAATTGTGTCAAAGGTTGAAACATCAGTTTCACTAACAATAATCTCTCTTACAGCGGGGTTGGATAAAAGTAACAGTACTCGCAGTCATTCGTTTTAATGTCACCTGTTTATGTTCATATATTAGTTTTACTAGAACTTGAACTAGAATTTCAATGCCACTGTACTGATATATCTGATAATAACTTGCTGGACTAATTTTGGTTGGAGCTTGCGCTTTGATCCTTTCTTGAAATCTAGTCCACCAAACGGTCTTCTGAACTGAATACAAGCGGGAGTGTCAGTCAGGGTCACATCTTCATTGTTATGTCCGACAGCAGAATACTGAATTACACCTTCGTAGTTAGTGGTTAATTATCACATGACCTTCATTTATGTGGCAGTTACTTCAAGCCAACACGATGTTTTCACAATGTCCCTTTTTTATCTGATGCGGCTTTTCACTCTTTTGCATCTGGATTTCATTCAATGTTTCCAAACGAAGTTGTAAGTAGCATCATACGACGTGTTGCTTGAGTCCTGAAAGCACTTTTATGTACAATTTAACAACCCAAAGTAACATGAAATGAAAATATATAATTCACAATTGGGTGAATCTTTACGCAGTCCTTACTATTAATGCGAAGAAATTGAATTTATGCCACTTATTTTTTGTCATATACAGTGGCTAAACTGCAAAGTGATTAGAACACATGCAGGAACTAAGCCGAGCAACTATTTGAAAATGTTACGCACCTGGGATAAGTAGTAGAAATTAACGTCTTATTAATTGTACTAAGATAATCCTTGAAAAAAAATGAAAATGAGTTCCAGCTAGAAGTCTGGTGTTTCATGAGGAATGAATGACTCATGATAATTTCGTTATGCTTAATATATTGCTGAGAAAGGTCCTCTTTTCATAATTTAAAATTCTCAGCACTAGTTTGGTTATTTGGTAAAATATTTCAAAAGTTCTGTTACAACCATTATTCACAGTTGGAAATTGGAACACTCCGCGAAGTATGACAGTTTTTAATCTATGTCGTTTGTTGCTGGTAAATTTTCATTCGTCTAGACCTCTGTCCCTCAAAAATCGTAAAACTCTCCCAATTCACTGTTACTATTGAGGAGTTCGAATTCAGTATTTATTTGCGTATCTGGTAGTTTATCGCCAGTCAAAAACTGTGTACTGATATTTCCTCCTCACGTCTTTCTTTATTGTAGTTCTCATGAGTCTCTTTTGTTTTTCTTTACTCTACCTTTGTGTGCTACGTGGAGTGTAACAGCTTGAACTGATGCATAACTTTGTGAAAACCCACGCCTACAACCAGTCATTCAGTCAGTAAAATAAGATTTGACTCAATAATGTAACAGAAAACAAAGGAAACTACTTGATTCAATGATTTGCCGAGCTTTCAAGTGTTTTCAGGAATCTGAATAGCTTTAAGGCAGATCATGAACTAAAATCCGTAAGTGAAACAGTAAAAACCATGGAACATGGAACAGCAGCTTTTCCAGGACTCTTCACTAGTACACAAGCAGGAACCTCAGGTCACTAGGTGCCCCATTGACTATTTATCCACTGAGGCGGAACCCAGCTGAGTATGGCAGCTAACATCTGCCTCTTTTTCTGACGACATGGCACTATGATTTACTAGTCGTTAAGACAGAAGGGAAGCAGCTTTTTAATTATATTTAAGCGGTACAATGAAATCATTTGTACAAAATAGAATACTCAAAATGTGTTGTGAAGAAATTTTCGACAAAATTCATTCAACTTAAGAAGTCACAGTAGAGACATTTTAGTCATTGCAATAACTGTAATTCACATGTTTGTTTTGTAAAATGTGACATTCAGTTACTAGACGAATGATTAAACACATGTTTCTTAACAAGTGATTAGGCAGTGAAGATTAGGTTTGAATGCATATAAAGGAACATTAGAATTCTTTAAAAAAAGTGAGAAAATTCCTATTATTTCAATTGAACAGCACTTTTGAAAAGTTCATGGTAAAGATTAAACCACAAAAACTGATGAAAGAATTAACCAAATTATTCTAATCATTGAATAATCATTGAACACAACAGTATCGTCTCATCATTAGATAAAGGTGCCGAATACGTTCGTTGCACGTTTCTTGACTTCACTTCTGCTTTCGACTCTGTACCTAGATGTCTCTTGCTATATAAGCTCTAGATGACACAAACTGAGTCCTGGGTCACTAACTGGTTGCATTCCTACTTTTTCAAACAGAATGCAGTACACCGTATACAAAAGCAAATCCTCCTCTGCTGTGCTCATTGAAGCTGGTATCCCCCAAGGTGCTGTACTCTCCACACTTCTCTTTTCTTTCTTTCTACATGACCTACCATCTTCAAATGACATTAATTTTGTCAAATATGCTGATGATCTAACTGTATCTTTGCCTGCCAAATGTCAAAGTGACCGCACTAAACTAAACGGCTTTTCATCAGAAGTCAGCCAATGGTCCAAGGAAAACGGTCTAACCTTAAATCCCTCCAAATGCCAAACAGTTAATTTCACATTTAGGCACAAATCTGACCTAAACAAACAGGTTAGCACTCACGAGGTGTGCAACGTAGATGGCATTGAAATAGGAACCAAGTCAGAAATTAAATACCTAGGCGTCATTCTATCTGCTGGTCTTTCCTGGTTGTCTCATATCTTGATGATTTCTAAGAAAATATTTCGTCTTACCTTCTACATCAAGAAGTTAAGACATTCTGGTGTAACCCAACCCTTACTCCTACAATTCGTTAACTCTTGCATCCTGTCTATTATTCTCTATTGTTCCCCCTTAGTTTTTCCAGGGCTACTGAAGAAAGACTATACCTTATTACGCAGGATGTTAAATGTTGTCAGCAGGGTAAGCTACGTGCCACCTAACTAGGTTGTCAATATTCTGGTTGACAGGCACATGGACTCATGCGAAAAATGGGTGAAATCCATTCTATCTAACTCACACCACCCTCTTCATTCACAACTCTTCTCTTGTGTCTTATCAGGCAGGACCACAAGCTTATATAAAAAACTATATGCTCGCACTATCAAGTACAAAAACTCAACCATACCCTACTTAGCTCGTGTTCTGTGCGATAAAAAAGCATTAGGCGTGAAACCTTTAACTTATCAAATAGTCCGTAGAACAACTGGATCTCGTCTTTCCGACTCATATCATTTATAGGTACAACGTTTTTCTTTCTTTCTTTTCCTTTTCTCTCTCTTTTTTTGTGTTATGTGCTGCTTTGTTTCTTTCTTCTGCTTACGCCAGTAAATATGCTAGAAACTACTTTTCTAGCACCTTCAAACACTCTGTTTAATTTTGGCTTTGTTACCGACACGCTAATATGTTGTTGTCAAAACTAACCGAAATTTCCTTAATCTATGTAGAATTTTATTTATTGTTAATGTACTAACTGGATGTAATACTGTAGTAAAATGCTGAGAATTCCATTCTGTATCACAAGTACTGATTTGGAATAAAGCTATTATCATTATTATTAAATTTCCATAAGGATATATTTTGTAGACGGTGTAAAAGTTATCTTTGTTTCCACTTACTGCAGGGAAATGCTTGATTTCTACCGACATCTCACAAGCTAGAAATGGTAGCAATCTCATTATAAAGCTATATGCTTAAAACTAATGATAAATAAAGATAAATAGTAGTCTTATTCTAAACGAAACATGTACACACAGTCTAAAGAATTCTCAGAGTAATTCATTTGTACAATATGTTCTTCTCATCCAGGAACTTCAGGTAAAAATAGTATTCTGAAGTATATCACGTGATACAGTGCTGTTACATTTGATATTTTTCCTTCATTTCCACGA